AAGAAGTCATTTCTTGAAGTTATAGTATGGTCTATGAACAAAAAATTTATAGGATCAACGAAGCGATATATCCCACGAATGGTGCTTCTCATAAGAACACACGAAGGAAAATTACTTGGACGATGTGCGATAGAAAATTTTCCACGGCGTCGTCATTTTTCCATCTTTAAATTGATAGTTTCTTATCAAAAGCGTCTTAAAAACAAACTCGATTGTTCGGGAATATTTCAAATATCTTCGCTGCAAGAAACAAAGTAATGTAGCAAACAAACGACCTCGATACGTCGAGAAAGAAGACTTTGATAAAGATGATGTTTGTACATATGAAAGCTTACGGAAACTAATCTCGATAAGTCACATTGTGACTCCAAGAATCGATAACATTTAATTCCTGAGAGTAGATCGAAAAAGTCCATTAATTTCTCACAATCCGACTCTTTCTTTTACCTTCGTAAGAATTAACGTTTACGGATTGATCTTGTTCGAAATTTTTTCTCCGCTCGTTAATGAGTACTTCTCAAAGGAACCGCCATTTAGCAGCAAAAGAAGGCTACTACGTAGCGTCGGAAGAATCACTATTCCTTGAGGTAAACTGTAATAAACGAAGTGGATAAGACATTAGCAGAAATACAGACGTATTTTACGAGCGATCGTAAAGAGTATATGCTTTCGCTTGAGTATTTCTTATACGACGGTATAATTTTTTAGTGTTCGTACAATGACTTGATCTTTAAGTATTCGAAAATTCATTAAAAAAAATTCTCTCAATAATTTTCATTAAAATATATTTTGATAATACTTGATAAATGACGCGTCGTACTAATTGATATTTACTTTTGCTATTTTGATCCTAATTTCTTTCGAAAAATACATTCAAGCTTAAGAAAAAAAGATTTTACGTGAATATTTTACGAATGTTAAGAAAAAATATCTCGATCATGAAGAAACGAAAGAGGATGTTTTAACGGAAAGACTTTCCGTTTACCGAAGAAATGCCATCGTTCGAGAGGACATGAAAAATCGTGCACGCAACACGTAAAACTGAATATCCCTCTTGCCTAGTAAAAGCTCAACATTGAATATTGCAAAGAAAATTGCTACTACGTGAGAAAACTTGGTGTTACTGCAGGTAAAAGAAAAGAAAAAAAAAAAGTTAGGTATATTGTGGTTGGCAATTTGAGACAACGTTGGAAACGATAAAAATAATTTTTGTTCAAACTAAAACAAGAAAAAAAGAAAGAGAGAAAGAAAGAAAGACCGTAATGGGCTATTTCCATAAAACAAAAATACTATCTTGAAAAACTGTGATAGCCGAATGAAACGACCTCTTAGCAATTTTCTTCATGCATTCTGATAAGATCAGAATGCATGAACGAAAAAGAACAAAAAGTACAGATATATTAAAAGTAATCAATTCAATAAGATTATCGAATTCGTTTCGGACGTTCATCATCATTTTCTATTATATCGATTATCCTTGATACGATATTATAAACCTGAAAATTTAAAACCTTGAATCCAAATAAAACAAACGATCTTTGTAGGACCGTGTTGTTCACTTTTTTTTCAGACAATTCAAAAAACATATTTTACGAGATAATGAAAGAATCAGAAATAATTTGGACTTTGTATTTTTCCAATTTCAAAACGAGAATCTCATTGAGAATTATGATATATCTCGAATGATATGAGATAAACATAAGCACTATATGAGAAATTGGATGTACTTGGTGACAAGTTAGATAGCCGTAAAGAGGAAAAATTTCTAAGTCAGATGATCGGTGGACTTATGAATAGCATCATTTGATGTCTTGTACTTTTTTTATACTTACCAAATTGAGGAAGTAGTAAATTTGTAATGTGATAAAAGATAAAAAGACAGTTAGAGACAGACAGAATGAGAGAGAGAGAGAGAGAGAGAGAGAGAGAGAGAGAGAGAGAAAGGGTAGAGAGAGAAAAGATTTAATTAAATATTATAATCTAGGTAAGATATACTCACTAACGTAATTACAGAGAAGTCATGTGAATACATATAATGCATTCGAAACTAAATGCGACAGAATTTATGAAAATAATTAGTTACCACTTAGACGACGAATATGAGTTAAGATTGATCATAAATCGCGACACGCGAGAAAACTCAATCCATTTACTTAATACGTTTTTTTACTTAAATACGTTCAACCGAGCATACACGACCAAGAGTTTTGCCCTTATAGTGAAAGTCCAACCCTCTTTACTTTCCTATTCTCGTACATTCATATTCTCGTCAACATTTTGACGTATCTTCTAAATTGTAATTCGACAGTACGTTCTAAAACTTTTATTATATCCTAATTATCTCAAAGTAAGTGAGTTTGATATAAAAACTTGCAATTATATAAAACTTGTCGAATTATTTAATTAATTAATTTTTTATTCGGTATATGATAAATAAATAAATCTTATATATTAATTTGAAATATTTTCTTATCTACGATAACATATACATTTTTATATGAGTTACCACGGTAACCATTCAAAAACAATGACTTCTAAATAAAATAGCGATATATTAAAAAGAAGATACTTTTTTTTTGAATTTTTCTTTCACGACGATATTCTTTTTCTCTTTCATATGCTCCATATATCGAGAAACTCTTTCGAGATAGCGTTATTCGTGAAAAGTTAGCCACAAGGAACATAAGACGAAGAATTTATTATGTACTTGAACTTAATACTTCCAAGCACTCAGCTAGCTTATAAACCGATAAACGATTAAATTTCGAAACGGGTGAGAACGAGATCATGTCAAAAAGCCAACAAATTTAAATTTCTCCTGGCGTCAAGTTTGTTTAACAATGTATGTACGTATAAATATATGTACATATAGTTGAAAAAATATATGAATATATGTGTAACAAATTCGATTTTTTCAATTGTTAAGTATCATTGTTTACTCGATGATAAAATATTCAAGATACAAGAGTATTTATATACGTACATATATGCGTATTGAAAAAATGAACGCATATGTAACAAATTCGATTTTTTCGATATTTCCAAGTATCACTGTACAGTTCGTGTCAAAGCACTTGGTATGAGAATATGACAGTAACACTCGCCGCCTCTTGTGTCCTTGACCAAATTTATTCCGAATATTACTGGAAAGTATTCGTGCATACATACATACATATACACATCTGTACTATATATATATATATATGTATATATATATACATATATATATATATATGTATACTTAGGCTATGATAGACACAGGACAAATAAAGAGAAAAAAAAATCAAGAGATATTTCTACCTTTTTAAACTGCGATGAAGAATGACTTAGAAAAGTAGATAAAAAATAATAATGGTCAAAAACATATTTTCACAAGGACGTGTGATAAAAACCATGCCAGAAACAGAAACATTTCTTTCTTTTGTTGACGATAAAGGATATACATATATAGTTACATATAAATACGAACGTATATATCTAATGAGCCAAATGTAACATCATATTACCACATAGCACCATTAAAAGAAACGACACGTATTTTTGTAACTTGCTCCGAAAGTTTCAGTTAACTCTAGAGATTCTTGAATTTGAGTTTTCTCAGATTGTCATTAATCGAAAAATAAAATTAAATAAATTTCTGTATAATAAAAATTTATTTTATTATAATAAAAAATTAAAAAATCTTAAGAAGTTAAAAAAAAAAATTTATATATATATATGTTAACAAACAATTAACGACATATATATATATATATTTTTTTTTTTTCATTATTTTTTGATTCTTCGAGCAATATACGCAAAGAATGTAAATTATTTATTAAAGAATTAGATTTCGGATTGAAAGGAAATTAAATTGAAGAGGAAATTAAGTATTCCTTCGGTAAGTTTTAGAAATTTCTTTTATAAAAGACAGTAACATTTTTACTCGCGATCACTATCGTATGGAACATAACGATAAATGTTATATAGACAAGATTCACGTGGATCTTTATTTCTCTCTCTCTCTCTCTCTCTCTCTCTCTCTCTCTCATTGTTTTAGAAATTCAAATGCCTTCTCCTCGGTTTCACAAAAATGTCGATCGCAATTTCCTTACAACAATCTCCTATCTCGGTAAGATTCAAGGCACGAGTATTACGTGAAAGCTTCCCCCTTCTCTAAAAAAACGTCGAGGTTTTCGCGAAAGAAAACTAAAAGTGGAATATCTTTCGTGGTAGTGCACGCGGAGCTCTAGAGTCGATATCACTGTGGAATCACCAAGAAGGGATAAGAAGGATAAAAGAGTGGAAGTCTACGTGCCACATACACACCATCTACATTTATGTATGTGTGCTTATATATAAATATGTATACACTTGCAAACATGAGAATTTTGAAGAGAATACCCTTAGGAATCAACGACAAATCGATCTAATCGATGAAATGTTATCTCCCCCGATAATAAAAATTTCTCTCTGTGATGATAAATAATTAAAAATTTATTAATATGAATTATATGTGTGTTATTATTTTATTTCAAATTGATGCGTTCATTAAGCAAAATGATATAAAAAGAATGAGATAAGGTCTTTTCAATTTTACGAGCAAGAAAAAATAAAAAAAGGATCACTTTGAACTAAATTTAACCTAACATAAATATATAAAAAAAATTTATATTTTGACATCGGACAACTTTACGTACACGATTTTTTCTTCCACTTGTCGGCGTTACGATAAAAATAAAATATACGTATGAGTTTTCACAGTAGGAATCTTAAACTTCTATAAAATTATGACATATTTCTCGATATATACATAACTCGTTGCAGCTGAACGTTGAAAGGATTACATGTCATTTTTGCAATTAAAGAAAGTTAACTTGATTCAAAAATTGCTGTTAAATATACTACAGCATTTTTTTTTAAGTTTATATCAAGCTTATATATCTATTTATGATTCATAAAAAAAAAGAAATACTTAACATTTAATCGTAATGTACCTAACAATTCTAAGTCATGTTTACCTTATCATCCAATTCAAGTTGAAGAATGGCATTCTGCGAACCCGGACGAACGAATTCTAGAATTGAAAAAGGATTCTTGAAATTGTCCGAACTTAGAATCTGTTGCTCAAAGACGCTATCTCCACGTGGACTAAGATGTGATATTTTTTCCGATGTCACTCTGATGAATAAAATTCTTTTTTTCGAGGAATGAGGACGTTCAGATTGAAGATGTCACGACAATTCGCGTGAAACGATTCGCTCCATAAAAGGAAGCTGCAGATATGCAAAGAAGAAGACAAAGAAAGAAAGAGAAAAGGATAGAGAAATAGACAGAGAAACGTAGAAACGACTGTCGCGACGTATGGACGCGCACTGCTCTCGCGGGTTCTCACAACGTCGTGGCTAGAGCGTCGGAGAGCGTCGCGACGGCAACGCGACGACGCCAAACTCTCCGATCAAGAGCGCGTGTGTGTCAACGCGCTTGCGCTCTTAACTCTAATCCCTTCTTTATCTTACTTAAACTTCCTCGATTTAAATTTGACTACTTTTTTCAATGTTTAGACAGTGACACGAATCGAACACGTTTCGATGGACAATTCGTATTATTTAAAAATTTCAATAACTTACATTTTTTCTTTCACGAACGTTATATTACTAGCTTTTTGTTATCGTTTAATTGTTTAATTAAACAGTTCTTTAAAATTGACAATAAATTATTATAAAAATATATATCTATATAGTATATAAACATTTTAAATACTTTGTTTTCCATGTTGACTCTTATTTTACATGGAACTGATATTATATTATCTTTTCTCGTTACCAAAATTTCGTTACCAAATCTCGTTACCAAAATCTTGTTACCAAATATCGTTACCAAAAATTTCGTTCGAAAACTCGTGTTACCAAAAATTATTCTACCAAAAATTTCGTACAAGAACTCGTGTTACCAAAACTTTCAATTCATTGTTATCAAAACATTCTACCAAAAATTTCAGGATGATAGTTGGTCGATCAAATTATTAGTACGATCAAATGTTATATTATTCATGTTAGAAACATTATGCATAATTCAGTAACATCACGTTCTTTAATTTTGTTACAATGCATGAAGTCTGAAGTATCAAAACTAAAAATATTTATTTCATTTAATGTCCCATTAACTTTGAGAAGAAAAATGTCTGTTGTTCAAAAAATGTAGAATGTTGCGTGATTCTTTGAAAATGTATTGAATTTATCATAATTTAACGAATTCTCTTCATATGCAATTAAAAAAAAAATGTTAGTGAGATGAATAAAATTAAAGACCGACATTCATTTTACACGGAATTGACATTATATTATCTTTTCTCATTACCAAAAAATCATTAAATATTTGTTCCATTTATTATCTCATTAAATAAAGTACACAAGTTTGTGGAGTCATACAATATATAATAATGAAAAGGAAATCAATGAACGAAAGAGAGGCGAAGAGAGAGAAACACGGAGAGAAGAGAGAGATCCTTAGACCTAGATAGATGACAAATAGGAATTTATTTCATATCTCTAACGAAGGTTTAATTTCGTATCATATTAAATGGTGAAGGAAAATATATGATAATCTACTATGAGATTAGAGATTCAGAATTCATAGTACAAGATATTTTGATCAGAGGTTTTAACAAGAAATTCAATCTTCTAGTGAATACAAGCCGGAGGCTTAGAACCAAGCCAGTGAAAACCACGCCAACAAAATTCTCTTAATCTTAATCTGAAACTAAAAGATAAAAATATTAAATTAACCGAATTGAAATTATCCTTAATAGAAATATTCTATAAAAATAGTAAATCAAAAATAAAACATTTCAAGTATATAATAAAACAAAACATTCAGTTTAGTAAGTTCAGTATAGTAAAAATAAAATATTCAAAGTATATAATCAAGCAAATATTTTCATGAATGAAATAAGAAAGAATAAACATAAAATTTTTATCCGAAATGTAATATTATATACATTTTAAATGAATATTTTTCTCATTTTTATATTTGTATATGTACGTATATTTACGCGAAGAAGAAATATCATTTTCGAGAAATTTGAAATATATGAAGAATTCGAAACGTCGAGATTTAAAAAGATTCAATAAAACCTATTCATTTTCTAATGTTCGAAATAATAAAATCCTTGACATTTCTCCAATGTGTACAATGGCGCATATAATAAACGCAAGTTACGACGTTACGAAGAAAGATATATATGCGAGTGTCATAGCAACTCTTACGCGTTTGTTCTTCTTTGTCGGGTGCGTATTCCATAAATTTATTTTCTCCACGACAGGAAAGCATTTCTGGTATGTATGAACGAAAAAAAGAAAAGGATATATCGGTATACCTATGGGGTAGTAGTATTATTGGTGTAGTAGTATTACACCTGCGAAGGAAGACACGTAGATTTATCGAAGTACCAGGTCGATGAAGGCGCAACTCACGCCATAGTCCGTGTTACCTGTTCCTTATTAAGCCCAGTAATAAATTATTTTCACGAGAATATGCCACGATTTTTCTCCTTGCACAAATTACAAAGATCCAATTTAAATACGCTTCGATGGATAATTTTTATCAATCTATCTATCCCTTTTTCTTTATCTCTCTCTCTCTTTACAACATTCTAAATACGCTCTTTTTTAAATAATATCTCTAATTTCTTTCGAAATAAAATATATTTCAATCTTTATTTCTAAGCGAAAATAAAAAAAAGAAAAAATATTTAAAATTATCCTAACAAGATAAATAATATTAGTTCTAAAAGATTGTTTCTTAATAATATTAAAATTTTCGATGGTTTTCACAATTGCAATGAAAATGTTAATTATAATATATAATATTTTGTTATATATTATAATTATACATCATTTCTAATTTTTAAGTACGACTGATAAAAATGCATTATTGATATGTGCCGAAATATGCAGCCATTAGCTTAATAGTATTTGCATTACACGATACATTGCAAATAAATTATAAATTGCTCTGATCTCATTACATGAAGGTTGCTGCATATAAGGATCCACGAATAAAGATATTATACATTAATTAGTCTCGTTTAATAAATATTCCTTTTATTCGGTCGAAATCGATGGAAGGTTTATCAACTGCGACTATACCTTGATTTATCTATAGGAAGAAGCATGAATCTCGTTGAACTATATTTATCTATTTTTGAAATATATATTCTATATTTATTTCTTATTGTTTATTTCTTTCGTTTTATTGCAACCTTGATCTATGAGATCATTGATCAAATTTTATTTTTACACTATCCCTTCATATTTACATATATTTTAAATATACAGATGTATTGATTAAATACATTTGAAATGTATTTGATACATCTCAGACATATACAAAATATATATACCTAATGGATTTTATAATTTTTACAATGTAATGATTAATATATTTCCAATTATTATTATTATAAAGTTAAAGATTTAAAAGTTAAAATGCTTATTCGGAAATATGTGAAGTATTAATTTATATATTTTAAAGCATTAGCTTAATTATTATACTAAGATGCAAAGAAAAACCGAAAATCTGTAAATTTTGTGTTATAATTTAAAAGTTTAATCTTAAAATAGTCTCAAAATATTATAACATCCAAGCATAAGCGTAAAAGGTTCATAAACCTTGAACTCAACATGCATTATAAAGGAACACTTGAAACTTTACCAATATTTATAAATATGTTAAATTAACTTTAATAAGCCGTACTGTCTAATCATATAAATTCTTAAACTTGAGACTCCTTTCTTAATGACAAATTTAAGCAACCATATGTTATTATAACACACCTGAAAAGAAATCATTCTATAGAGAATAAATCGTATAAGTACAATAAACGAAATAGCATTTTTATAAAAAAAGGATGCAATTTTATTATGTGCCTATAAATATAAAAAAATTTAATGCTAACCAAATTCATAATATCATAATTAAAAATATCAAAAATATATACACAATAATATAGCAATGTATGTGTATGTGTATGTGTATGAGATATGTCAGTCGCAAATAAACAGGAAGACGAAAAATTTCAGAAGAAATACTAGTCGTATGTATGTATGTATATATGCGTGAAGTAAGCCGATCAGTAGATGAATAGAGAAATGGAATATTCTAACACTAATTAGTTGTGTGCATGTAAAAAGTTATGAAAAGAAAAGAAAATCTAGGATATTGGGAAAGAAAGAATGATAAAAAGTGACGAGAGTGAATGGGCGAGATAGTCTTGAATCATAAGTCTTGAACGAAACAATATACCAACGAAACAGCGATAACGTCCAACGAGTGACGTACCAACGAAACAGTGATAACGTCCAGCGAGTGATGTATCAACGAAACAACGATAACGTCCAGTGAGTGACATACCAGCAAAACAAGCAAGAGTAAACAGCAAATAGTGTAACAGTGAAACAACAAAAGGACCGTCGAAGAGCGAACAGCGTATGACATTGTCTTTTTTTTTATACTTTTACATTTATTAATGTTGACGCACACGTGCGTCCCTCAATTGTTCACAATACTTTTTCCTAAGGATCATATATCACTATTAGAAATATCTATCCTTGGGAACTCGTTGGATATTCGCTAAGAAAACGCATAGATAAAAAACACATTGCCACCTTTGTCCGAGGCATTTTTGATCATATATCTAGTCATCAATAATGTGTCGAGTCAAGTGATAAATAAACTGCAGACTACTAGGCGTGACTAGCCAAGGGTCTGTTTGTCTGGAGCCTATCCTTCAAATATCAATGCAACTTTCATGGATCCATACAGACAAAGGATCCCACATAAGATTATTTAAACATTCCAACGAACTATCCTGACACCCTCACGACCAATAGAGATATTGCTTTCCCTTTGTTATTTAAACGCCTCCCTTTCCATTTCTCTTTCCTAATTCATTAATGCCTAAAGTGGATATTTCATGAGAATTATCCACAGACAGTAGCATCAAAACATTCACACTCATCAGTAAGACAACCGAGTCTCACTAATATCATTGATTATGCCTTAATCGGAAGTATCCAGTACAATCTAACAACACAACTAACTACATGTCATCCTACAAGAACATCAACAATTGTATTTTACTTTAACAAATATACTGTGATAACTTTAATTCACGCAATATTTATTAACGCGCACCTACCTCATAAGCTCCACGGGATCCTTCAAAAGAATTCGTGTTTTCTCATTAATTTGCGAGAACGTGGCAAGCGGTATTTTGCTGATGGCCTTCAACGGCATTCTAACCTTGTGCCGCCTCTCTTATTCATCGCGAACAGTGGGTACTATAACTCTGACGAAAAGGAAATAACGAGGGAAATTCTCCGTCTAAATCGAGTATTATCGCTGGCTCAGTGCG